TCCACGGTTTAGGTATCCGTCGAAATCACTTGGCGATCTAAAAATGAATGTTCTCTCCAATTTTCGAAATTCTAGAGTTATTTTGCTGATTTTTCGGAATTTTTTATCCAAAAGTTCAACATTTTCTCCAAAAACCAAATTTTTAAACGGCATTTAAACGGTGCTTTCACAAATAGCTCTTAAAAAGTTATTGTTCATAAAACAGTAACAATTGTGAAAAAATGCGATTTTTTAAAAACCCTGTTCAAAACATGCATCAGGAATTGGCGTTCTTCTCAAAAATATTATGAATCTAATAAAAAGAATACAATTTCAAAAATAGAGCAAACGACTCTCTTCGTCAAAATCCAAAACTTCAATCGAATTCCTGAAACAATAAACAGGAAAAGCCGATTTTGAGGATGAGCTCAAAAATTTCCGACTCCACGAAAGCGCGGCGGCTGGAAAATGGATGTATGGCGGGAACCGTGGCCGGTACATAGACCGTCGGCCTGCCACCAATCCATCATTCATCCAACATCAACCTTTCGGGATATCCGACTTTTTATCCTCTCTCTCTCTCTCTTTCTCTCTCTCTCACGCTCAGCTTTTTTCTTGAAAACGACAGAGACGCGCTGGTCCCGCGCACTCTGTACAGGACGATCAACGCCGGGCCGGAAGCCGTGGAATGATGGTGTCGATAGGAGTTGGATGGAACAAGGACGAATCCTTGGGGCAATCCGGAATGGATCACGTGCCCCTCACATTCGAGCGGGAACAGCTGATGTTTTGGAGGCGGTGCGCGGGTTTTTAGGCTGGAGAGAGAGGAAGAGAGCGAGAGAGAGCGAGAGAGATAGAGTAAGAGAATGCCGACTTTTGGATCTCAAAAATACTGTAGGTGTGTTTGTTTGTGGGTTTTTAATAGCCCGTCTGTCGCCCAACTTCGAGCAGTTCAATCTCTTTTGGCGTGAAGGACAGACCGATAGACAAGCGGCAAGAGGCTGTACAGCGAGAGAAAGAAAGAAGAGAGACAGAGAGAGATAGAGAGGGAGAGAGAGAGAGAGAGAGAGCGAGAGAGAGAGCGTCTGCGAGAGACTGAGGGGAACAGAGAGAGGTAGAGAGATAGACGGTTCGAAAGAGCATTCAAACGTGCTTTTTGCAGTCTCAGACATTCAAACTCACTGTGTTTACTTCAATTATGGAACCGGACTTGACTTTCTAGCACAACTTCAAGCAGTTCAACCCACTTTAAAGGGACAATCCGTCCCCGAATCACTTTATCCTCATTGTCCATAATGTACAGGTACGAAAAGACTCAAAACATCACTTATCCGAACATGATCGAATTCGTCTGGCTGTTGAAGCCGCCCTGCTTTTGGCTCTGGTAGCTGCCCCAGCTGTTATGGGATGATTGGACGATGCCGGGGAAGTTCCCACCCATTCCGGCTGCTGGAAAATGTTAAAATAGGATTTTGACGGCCAGAATCCGTCTTTATTTTCTAGCCAAAACCTTAAAGGGGATGAGCAAGCATCTGTTGATCCCCCATCTGGGAGGCGGGATCAACCGCTGGCAAATTGCCAACTGGGAGAGAGAGGACGCCCAGGTAAGAGGCGCAGAGATTCCCCCGCGTAGCCGATTGACATATGCCCGCGGTACCATTTTAAGAATTTTCTTACCCATTTGCCCAAACGACATGCCAGGGAAGCCGCCAAATTGTCGTCTGGCTCGCTCATGGGGTCTAGAAAACACAAATTAACAGGGCTTTTTTATGCTTTAGGCAATTATGCTTATGGAATTTAGAAGTGTTTAGATTGTAAATTTGCGGTATTAGGATCTTTAAAAAAGCCGTTTTACTTAAAAGATTAGAAGATTAACATTATTGATGAAACAAAATTAATTAATGAAATTTGCTATAGCTATATCAGCTCCGAAATTTTTTTGCTCGACTCACTTGGTAGCATCGCGAGATCCCAGCTCCTCCGCTGGTCTTGCAAAAATCGTCGAAATTCCGAAGACCGCAATGAGCGCGAGAAGGAGCACGATTTTGGCCATTTTACAGCAGAAATTAGTCTTCAATTTAAGCTACTATCTAGCCCTGATGAACTCTGGATTTTATACCTTAACCCCCACCCACCTAGTGGCCGAACACCCTAGAGGGTAGCCCGAAATTCGGCAAGTGTCCTCAAAAATCCGGGAAGTGAGGCATTTTTCTCAGAAATATTGCTCATCCTCCCAGCTGGTATCTACTCGGTGATTTTTCAGGCTCGGCGAGTGCAGGTGAGTGAGAGTAGCTCATTTTTCTCTGGAGCTAGAGAGGGAGAGAGAGCGAGATAGAGAAAGAAAGAAACAGGGAGAGAGCGAGAGAGAGAAAGAGGGATATGGATAAAGCAAGGCTGCGTCCGTCCTTTATTCGACCACAAATCCACAAAGATTGCAAAGACACTTCATGTCAATTTACACACAAAAATACACACAAAACGAGGATCGCATCCGTTCAGTCCATTTGTTTCTCGTTGTTTAATATGGGCACGGTCCGTCAAAGTTCATCGGTGCGCTGCTCATCTGGAATTCAAATTAAAGCGGTCCAGACTTAAAAGCGAACCCTAGATTTCTCTTCTGCGGCCTCCTCTTCTTTGATTTCCTTCTTCTTCCTGAAAATGATGATAAATTTATCTGTTCCATAGACTTCCGTTAGGCTTAGCGTAGGCTTGGCTTGGGCTTAGCTTAGGCTTAGCTTAGGCTTAGCTTAGGCTTAGCTTAGGCTTAGCTTAGGCTTAGCTTAGGCTTAGCTTAGGCTTAGCTTAGGCTTAGCTTAGGCTTAGCTTAGGCTTAGCTTGGGCTTAGCTTAGGCTTAGCTTAGGCTTAGCTTAGACTTAGCTTAGGCTTAGCTTAGGCTTAGCTTAGGCTTAGCTTAGGCTTAGCTTAGGCTTAGCTTAGGCTTAGCTTAGGCTTAGCTTAGGCTTAGCTTAGGCTTAGCTTAGGCTTAGCTTAGGCTTAGCTTAGGCTTAGCTTAGGCTTAGCTTAGGCTTGGCTTAGTCTGAACTTAACTACCTGCAGAGCGGGATACAAATCGCGACACAGCTGGCAATGTAGCAACAGCAGCAGCAGCAAATCAACAGGGCTGGAAGGAGACGAATTTCAAGATGGATTAAAGGGAGTGTTGATGCGAAAATATAGGCTCTTACTTGGCTAAGATCCGACAAGGACAAGCCAAAATAAAGCACACAATAGCGAATTTTAAGCAAATTTAACTTATTGCGACTGTTTTGGGAGCGTAGTTTTCAAGACCTAGTCGACGCGATGGGTCGATTCTAGCACTTTCTAAAGAGGGTGGGTCAGTAAGTCAGACAGTCTCTGGCTTACAGTGCTCTTTTGAAAAGACAAGGAAGTGGGGGCAAAGTGGCCCCTCCACAGGTGTGAAATCAGTCTTATTCTGAAACCAGCGCCCAAAACCCGCTTCGCGGGCCTTGGGCGCTGGAATTGGGCCTTTGCATGAAAAATTTGACTTTCCGATAGCTCGGGTCCTTCGGACCCCTTCCCCCCACCGACCACACACGCGCGGGCAAATTGCAAGAATGAGGAAATTTGTATTTTTTCATATTATGCAAATTACCCCCAAAAATGAATAAAACCGGCTTTAACTTTGTAAACTCGTATTTTATCGAAATTCTGAAAACGCCATCGGAAAGAGGAGGGTCGATTCCCCCAAGTGACAAAAAATCAGCGCAGTTGGGACACAGGAAGGCCCTCAAATCGGGCCTCGAAAGTGACATCCACACACACACACAGAGATACACTCCAAAATTATATAAGGTAGGATTCGGGACACTCGTCCTTTCAATTCACCTCCTCCCATCCTCCCAACCCATTCATTCCATTTCACAATAAAAACCCACCAAAAATAATCCCGAAGAGCATCTGGCCTTCAGCTTTAGCCGAGGGCCCATCGTGAGCATCCGTCCGGGGTGGGTGCTGAGGGGTGCGTGGTCGATCTTGGGCATCGAGTACAGTAGCAAGGAGGGCGAGGGCAGCGAATAGTGGACGCCACATCGGGGGCCAGGATTTGGGGGTTAATCAGGGTCGAATTTGCTCTGGTTGAGATCGAGGTCGATATGCTAATTCAGAACCCAAATATATTTTCTAAGTGGACGTGAAGAAAGACGAGAGAGAGAGAGAGAGAGAGATGAGAGAGGTGAGAGAGAGCGATTGAGAGCGAGAGAGTGATACAGCGTGGGAGAGGAAGAGAGAGAGAGAGAGAGAGAGAGAGAGTAAGTGAGAGCGAGAACGGGAGTCGGAGAGAGGGATAGTGTGAGAGTGAGAGTGCGAGAGAGCGAGTGAGAGAGAGAGCGCGCGCGCGAGAGAGAGCGAAAAAAGACAGCGAGCTAGCTCAACCGAAAGCTAGCAATTTTACATACCCATTTCTCGCACTATTTGTTTTTCTTTATTCTCACCCCCCAATAGGTGTCAATAGGCCAGTAACGGAAAACTGGTCTCCCCGGCAGCCCTTTCCTTTTGCTGACCTTATTTGGCACATCCGCCCCGATGGATTGATAATGGCTCCCCCCCCCCCAGCCCTTCGCTGCCCATCCATTAATAACTGACCGCCAGCCAATAAATACGTTCATAATTATTGGATTTTCAACCAGAAAATTTGTTTTTACTTAGCTAAGCCAAGGATAAGTTGATTTTTCTCTCCTCGATCGATACCGTACCCAAGTTTAGGCCTCTATAAAGCCGCACTAATTACTTTTTCGTCACCTGAAAAAGCACTTTTTCTTTTTCAGGTGACGTAAAGGGTTTCGCAAATTAGAGGCATTATAGCGAGTGGATTGTGCGTTGTTTTTGAAGGTCTGATGGACTGGTAGGTATAGGTGGAAAATATACTTCGCCAACCACCCCGGGTGGTACCACCCCTAGGGGTGGTTGGAGGGTGGGGCGGGGGGTGGTTGGGGGTGGTCGTAGGGGGTGGTTGGGGGTGGTCAAAGGGGGTGGCTGGGGGGTGGTTGGGGGGTGGTCAATGCATTAGCCACCCCACCCCACCCCTTACAAAATTTTTTCATGATTTGACAATAAAAGCTTTTTCGAGTCAGATATGGTCCCTCAAAGACAATGTAGCCGGAAGATTTATTGCCAAATCATGAAAAAATTTTGTAAGGGGTGGGGTGGGGTGGCTAATGCATTGACCACCCCCAACCACCCCTCTGACCACCCCCAACCACCCCCCACGACCACCCCCAACCACCCCCCGCCCCACCCTCCAACCACCCCTAGGGGTGGTACCACCCGGGGTGGTTGGCGAAGTATAGTGGAAAAACAGAAAGCGGTTTTCCCCCCGCGCTAACGGTCCAGAACCTAAAGATTTTCAGAATTGCGCTAACAGTGTTTTTGCGTTGGGAAAACGGGTACTGGACTATTAACGGGGGGTGGCGAGTGTTGGCTTTAGAGATGTACGGGCCGGTTGCAAAAGAGTTTGTTTCCCCGCGAAAAAAATCCGTCCCCCCCCGTTAACAGCTCAATAGCGAAAAATTTTAAATCAAGCGAAGGTTTTAAGTTTTTTCAAACTTTTCCGCTACCAGTTATCGAATCAAAAACTCCCCATCCGAACCGCCCTGCCACGCGTTCCCGAGGCGTTTTTCGCTGTGACAGCAGGGTTTTTTCTTCTTTGCCTGTGTGGCATTCTCCATTGCCTTCCCTTGGCTCCTCGACCCCAGCAAGCGGGGGGCAAAACAACTTTTTCGTTGCCAGCCGCTCCTTCTCTTTCCTATCACAGGCCGGGGGAACGGCGGCCTGCTTTCGGATATGCTCGTTTATGGTCAGTTTTGCGTTTTGTTTCTTTATCCGGTTTTTTTTAGAGGAAAATAGGGTTTATTTTGGTAAAAGGTTATGATTTTCCGCTTTTCTGAGCAGTTTCAGGTGCGACTACTGTGCCCATTTTTGTATTTAATAACAAGAATTTATGTTTTGCTGGTATTTAATGATTTTCAGCACATTTAACTGCCGTAATCCATCGTTTACGTCCCATTATTTCGTCGATATTAGTCTGTATTCTTCCTTATTAAGCCTGGCTCTAGGCAAGCTTTTGAGCTATTTCTACCGCCCTCACATTTCCCTTAATTCAGCACGTACCTTTAATACTGTTTTTTGATAACGAACTCTATTGCTCCTTTTTATCGATTTTTTGCAGTGTCATTTACTAAAGAGAGATCCAGTTCCAGATGCATTCCGTAGATGAACAACTCCCAGAACCCACGACTTCCTGGGGCAGCGACGAAGAGGATTTTCATTACCCGAAATCGATTTCCCGCGTATCGAGTTATGGATCATTGGATCAAGTGAGCAGATCTACAGGGATTAGAAAGTGTTCTTTATCGATACCCAGCCGATGGGCAAGCAAATTTCTATACAGCGGTAGCGAAAATTTAGCTATGAAAATCAGAATTAAGTTACAACGATTCGTTCAGGAAGTACAAGCGGCGTGCGAGCGGCAATACTCGGCCGACGGGTTGGATCAGCTCAGCTTCTGCTTGAGTGAGGTGAGTAGGGGGACGTTTAAGGGATTATCAGCCTTAAGTTCACGATACTTTTGGAAAAAATGATGATTTGAGGTGTCCAAGATATAGATATCTTCCTTAAAGGGCTAGCTCAGCCAATAAAACAAAAGAATTTCCGCGGCCAGGAGTCGAACCCTCTCTGCGTTTCTGTGTCTGCGCCTCTCTCATTTCTCCGATCTCTAATAGCTGCCGTAATGGGGGACTGTTCGGGCACACTGTGCCAACGTCCATAGTGTCCCAAGGTACCAGCCCAAGCTCTAAAAGTTGAACCAGCCCTTTAAATCAAATTAGTTAAAAGTAGCGTCCGGAAGTCCATTAGAGATCAGTTGTGTCAGCCTTAGGGTTGTTTTTAGTATCGTAATGTATCGGAGGAGCGAAAGAAAGAGAGAGAGAGAGAGAGAAAGAGAAAGAAAGAGAGAGAGAGAGAGAGAGAGAGAGAGAGAGAGAGAGAGCGAGAGAGAGAGAGAGAGAGCATCGTGAAGGCATGTGGAGGGGGTGTTGATCGGATCGATGGGTGTTGTGTGCCCTGGGGGCATCCCCTTTCTTTCCTATCCACGATCCACCAGCGTACACCCGGCAAAAAACAAGTGATCTTTGCACTTTGCCCTCTACCATCCGTATACATTTTTAGCGCCTTTGCATGGATTGATTAGGCCATGTAAAGACCTGGAAAGCTCTCAGAAAAAGCTGCTCTCGGCATCCAGAAAAATAATGATTTTGATTCAGGGTCATTTACTTAGATTTTTATAGCCTACTGGGAAGCTTGGATCCCGATGATATAATATTTTAAAGGTATTTTGATACTAAAATAGCCATACTACTAATTTAGAACAAAATAAGAATCTCGGGCCAAAAACACGAGCAGAAATACTTGTTGTTTCCCGCCTCTATTTGCCGATTCTCGATTCTATTTTCTCGCCGGGGCCCCCCGGCCGGCCCCATCAGATACCGGGACCTGTATTCCCTAAGTCAGAAAAGACAGAAAAGTTTGTACAGTTCTACCTCCACGCGGGCCGATCTTGGTATTCTAAAGGGCAACACACTTTCCCAGGCTCCTCCCCTCCCCCATATACCAGTTTTGCCCTCACCTTTCAGTCACGTGGTCCCATATTTTGGCATCGGTTCAGCCCTGATTTTGATTTGACAAAAGATTTTCGGCTGTCTGCTGATTGATAACTTTTTGTGGTATATTTTGGGATTAAAGCTGTGGAAATTTTATGATTATTATTTTTTCGCATGCATGTTTTCGCATTTTTTCGCAAATTAGGCTTCATTGGTACGCCTGAGCTGTATCCAGAGATGCTCAAATTTTTCGATAAGGCGTTTTTGGTTAATGTATACTTTTAGATAGTTTCCGGAGCTTTTTTAGTGGGATAAAGACGTAAAAAAACTCTAAAAAGTGCGTAAAAGACATTTTTCAAATCATAATTTGCATATATTGACTGTCCCTGCGCCTTCAAAATTTTCTTATTACGTTAAAGCACCTCCGAATTCTGCTAAACATTGCTAAAAAAATTTCTTCGGAAACCTAAACCTAAGCCTAAGCTATACCTATGGCTAAGCCTAAGCCTGAGCCTACGCCTAAGCCTAAGCCGAAGCCTAAGCTTCTCCCTAAGCATAGGCCTAACCCTGAGCATAAGCCTAATCGCAAGCCCAAGCCTGAGACTCAAAGTCAAAGTCTCCTTGATCCCAGTTTCGTGCCGACCAGAACAATTTCGGCCCCATTTCCGAAATGCTGTCAATTTTCGGCTTCCCCTGTCGAACAGTGGACTTTGCCCGGTTCCCGGTTGTATTTTTCCTCCCCACCCCCTCTTCCCGGACATTATCGCCATCTTTTTGGTTCTTTATTTCTCTAATCCTCTTCATTTCTCTGGTCTCTATTCCCTATCCCTGACAGCAATTCTAGCCCGAGCCCGCACACCCAAAAAAAAGTTGATCGCGGCTTATCGTTGGGCTAGCCCAGAGGCCATTCTATCCCTGTAAATTTCGTGGGTGCTCTTGGTTTTTGATTGTTGTTTTCACTTCCTTTTAGCTATAGCTAGATTCATTTTAAAGGGAATGGTGAGTTTCATTCCATACCCTTTCCATGCAACAGAAGGCTACTAAAGGCTCCAAACGACGCTTAGAAACGGGTCTTGATGGTCCGACGGGTCCTGACATTCGAACAAAATTTCGTTAGCTGTCGAATTTTGGCATTTTTGTCGAGACCTAGTCGATGGTGGGGTGATTTTTGCCTTTTTAGTCCCTTTAAGGGGATAGAGCTTTCAAGGATTCGGCTTTCGCTACGGTAGCCCTTTCTCTACAATTCCAAAAAAACTTCAAGCATGTTTTTCTAAAAATTTGCGGAAACGTCGAAACCTAATCGATGGAAGTCGACGATTCCTGGGTGTCCTAGTCCCTTTAGAGACTCTCCTGGTCCGCCGCCTTTACCCGCGTAACCTCGTAAGACCTAAAGCTTAAAAACTAGTTTTGGAGTAACTTTTTACAAAAACCTGCTTC